TGTGTTTTTGTGATCATTTTCCCTGCAGAGCGTCTGTGTATGCCCTGGCTGGATGTTGAAGGAGCCTGTTGTGAACCAGAGGGAGCAGGGGAGCTGAATGGCTGCCCGGGGGGGGCCTGTGCTCTGGCTGAGGAGGAGACGGCTCTCTGGAAACCTCTGGTGCTGCTCATCCCCCTCAGGCTGGGCCTGAGCGACATAAATGAGGCGTACATCGGAACCCTCAAGGTGAAGTACTTCAGCGTGTACATTCAACAATTACTCTCGTACTTCGACTTCTTTTATTGTAAATGTTTGACTTTAATCTTGGAAATCGAATATCCCCGACACCACAGTTACTTTTTTTGTTATACCTTCAATGACCCTAAAGAAACAAAGCTCACACAAATAATATAAAACATAACAAATGGTACGCTTATCGAAATGTTCCTAATGTCATTTGTATTTTGTGTTAAACACTAAATTGGCTAAAAAGATGGAAACGGGTTCATAAATAAGCACTGAGGCAAAGCGAGCTGCAGCAGGCTGAGATAAACCCTCTCGTCTCTTTTCACAGCAATGCTTCATGCTGCCTCAGTCCCTGGGGGTTATTGGGGGAAAGCCCAACAGTGCCCATTACTTCATTGGTTATGTCGGTATGTCTGGTCTCTGTTTGTGAAATAAACACTCAGCTGTGCACTGCACACTCATGCTCACCATATTAATTCCTCTTACACCAAGAAAACAATCTAATGATAAACACGCTTCCTTCCTCCCAGGAGAGGAGCTCATCTATCTAGACCCCCACACCACGCAGCCTGCAGTGGACCCCTTTGAAGACGGACAGGTCCCTGATGAGACGTACCATTGTCAGCACCCCCCCTGCCGTATGCACATCTGTGAGCTGGACCCGTCCATCGCAGCGGTAGGAATGCTGGGCAGGGTTTTATAGCACACAGCTTTCCTATCTCATACTAATGCTCTTTGTTAAAGTGTGAATGCAGCAGGCCTGTTTGCAGTACTGTTCCGTAGTTTACTGTTTTCTGGTGTCCACCAGGGTTTCTTCTGCAGAACAGAGGACGAGTTTGATGACTGGTGTATGCGCATAAGAAGGGTACGTTTCCGAACAGCGATCTTGTATGGGCTCAGAACAGTCTCATAATACACACATGCGCACAGAAGGATTCACACTTGTATTTCATGATCCGCAAGAGGATTCACACTTGTATTTCCGGATCAACACTTGTGTTTTTAAATGCACACACAAATGTGTTCCGTTTAATATAGGCCTACATGTAAATAAAATCCTAATGCAGAAAAAAGTTTTACATATGTATTTTTGATCCACACATATTTGTTTTCCGTTTAAAACCTCTGAACCTGCAAACACAAACCGCTTTCTTTGCATGGATCGCTGTGCATTCGTGTGTGGGTTTTTTGAGACTCCCCTGACGGACAGCCGATTCGTAGGCTACTTGTAATTTTTTCTATCTATAGCCAATCAGATGTCTCCTCAATTCTAAGCCAATCACATGAGCGTGCCCCCACGAGGGTAGATTTCTTGCGTACATGACGTAGCGCTTCATGTACGCATTTTGCGCAGTCCGGAGCTGACAGGTCCATGGAGCCTGCCTGCAGGCGCTAATCTCAGGACACCTCCACTCTCAGTACATTGCCACTTTCCGAACAGGAAATGCACGCAAATACAAGCCTTTATATTATTAAGGTACAGCGCCACTTTCCGAACCATTGATGAATGCTTGTGTACACAAAAACGGCAGGCAAACCGTTTTAAATGTGTGTTTCCTGTATGGCGAATACAGCTGCTTTATTTATGTCTGTATGAAGTTGTTGTGAGTGTGGAGGGAGCAGCTACAGGTTAGCTTAGCCTCATCGATCAGTGCACTGCGAAAACAGTGCTAGACAGTGAACTGTCAACGGGGGGGAGCCCCGCCGGTCATTATCGGCCGATATTCACTCTAAATAGTTTGATCGGTGCTCTCTATGGCCGATCCGGAGAGCTGGATCTGATCGATATGGACATAAACGCGAGTGAAGTATAACCGGACGCGAGAGAGAGAGATCAGATCAGCTGCTGAGTCTGACGGAAACACGCAGCTCTGCATGATCACCTGAAGCCCCGCCCTCTTTTTAGCGAGCTGACCGGACAGCGCAAAATGCGTATATGAAGTGTCATGAACGCAAGAAATCATACCCTCGTGGGGGCGCGCTCATGTGATTGGCTTAGACTGGAGGAGACATCTGATTGGCTATAGATGAGAGAAATTACAAGTACGAATCGGGTGAGCGTCAGGGGAGTCTCAAAAAACCCACACACGAATGCACAGCGATCCATGCACAGAAAACGGTTTGTGTTTGCAGGTTCAGGGGATTTAAACGGAAAACAAATATGTGTGGATCAAAAATACTTATGTAAAGCTTTTTTCTGTGTTTGGATATTATTTACATGTATATGAAACGGAACACATTTGTGTGTGCATTGAAAAACACAAGTGTGGATCCGGAAATACAAGTGTGAATCCTTCTGTGTGCATGTGTGTATTATGAGACTGTTCTGAGCCCATAATCTTTTGCTGCTCCCTTGACTTGTCCATGAAAGTTAACTCTTGTGCGTTACGTTAAAAAAAAGTGACTCTGATGTTGTTAGGATCAAGATGTCCTAAAAAACAATATTATAATAAAATATTATTTTAGTTTATAATCCTGAGAACAAAATATTTATTTATTTTTTGGGCCGCCTGATAGCTCTCTTGGTAGAACTTGCAGCCCATGTACAGCTTTGAATCTGAACTGCGTTTCTTTAAGTGTTTCTTCCCCTCTGTCCCCCCTTTCAAATCTATTCCTCTAATGAATGCTGAACTGGCCCATTTTATATAAAATGATCTTTTGTATAGGTAATTCTAGAGAGATTTTTTTGTCACAGACTGTGTCAATAATTGGGGAAAAAAGTATTTTCATTAAGTTTGATTCTGTTGTGCAGGAAAATAGACTTTTTTGGCCCCACGTGAGAAGATGGCTCAATCTGGTTAAACATTTAAAAAACTACAATATTGAAGCCAGGGCTCTATATAAAAAGCCTGACATGAGAATGTTAGTTTTTTTTTTATTTAATAGGCGTGAATAAACAAATGTGGTTTTAATAGGGACATGTTGTCATTAGGAATCTGAGTGTCTGTATTTTAGGAGCTGAGGTTGAACTTTGAACGTTTGAGAGAAAATGCATTAAAGCTGATCTATTATGCTATACAAAACATGTCTCTGAAGTGTTCTGCTCAAAATACCAAACAGATCACCCAAAATACCCCTCTATTTCAGCCCTGTTACTAAAGAGATGATTCTGGGTCTGGCCCTTTAAATGTAGCCAAGCTGCTGCTGGCCACGCCCCTTTGGAGCGTCCACATACAAGCAGTGAGCTCTGTGAAGAGAAGGATGTCTACCCGCAGAAACTCAGCTAAACGCTGCCGTGATTAAGCTCCATATTATGTTCCAAACCACAGCAAGCATTATTTCTGAAACAGTATGGAGCTCAAACGCTTTCTCTCTCACAAGTTAACCACAAGGACAGTACCTTTTTTATATCCGGCTTCTTTAAACATACTCTCTCCAGTACAGCGTTAGCGATGCGCTTGCTAATGTAAACAAAGACCATATTACGTCCAAAACACGTCGCGCATTGTTTCTGATACAGCACATAGCTTGACATTTTCTTTCTTGTTTGTTTACCGCTAAAACAATGCCATTATATGTATTTTTTTCAGGATACACATACATATACACACACAACTTTACTCTGAGTCACTCTCGTAGACATCCTGCTAAATACACAGACACACAGCTGAGGGAGGGGATTCAGCTAGCGACTGTATATGGGGACGATAGGTTGGGACGTGGGTGGAACGTTGCCAGGAGTTCAATGTAAAGCCAGCCAACATTTTAGTAATGATGTCAAATTCTGGAAATCTGGATCAGCTCTGTTGTACCCCCGTTTTTAAAGATGTGGGTAAGGAGGAAAAGAGAGAGGGTTGTATTTTCTGACACTATGTGAGTCTCCTGACACACCGGGGACACATATTTATGTATAAAAGACATCAAAAAGTGCATTTTGCATAATAGGTGACCTTTAATAGCCAAATTGATTAAACAATATAAGTCATATGATGCATAATTTGTTGAATGTGTACATGATAACATGATGGCCCTTCTCTTGCAGCTGTCCTGCAACAGGGGGGGCCTGCCCATGTTTGAGCTGGTAGACAGTCAGCCCTCCCACATGGTCAGCATGGATGCCCTCAACCTTACTCCTGGTAAGTTAACTTAATATTATTTTTGCTAAATATATTTAAAATAATTATTCCAAATGAAATTTAATTTGTTTTCCTTTTTTACGTGTTGACGTTCCCTTTGCAGATTTCTCAGACTCCGACAGGTTGGAGCGGTTCTTTGACTCAGAGGACGAGGAGTTTGAGATCCTTTCCCTCTGAGGAACATTATGAACAATGATATGCTGTTCTCGACAAGCGGCTAAAGATTCTCACTCTCTTCTGTGCTTCAGAAGGGAGAGCCTGAGGGGATGAACATTAACTGGAGCCCTGTTGAGCGGCTCCAGCTCCGATGGTGTAGTCAGTGTGTGTCACACAGCGTTCAGCAGCAGCCTCTGAAAGCTCTCTGTTCCTACATTGAGACTGCCTGACTGGAAGTCGTAGCAGGAGCTCAGGATAAATTCTGTATGCACATCTTCACATACATGTTTCCATATGAGTCTTAACACTTTAAATGTTTATTCTGAAGTGATATGGTGCCTTTCCTTGACTCCATAAGTTAAATTGCCATAACAGTTTTATGTTGTAAGAAACTCTATGGTTTATGATGCCCATGGCTTACGAGGTTTGTCCCTAATAACTCAAGTCTGTAACAGCCTGTAATGAAACCAAATTAAGTCAAATCTGCAGATAAGTTACATTAATTAATCATGCAAAGTAACCCTGACAACTTTTGAACACACATTCAATCATTTGATTATTTATTTAATCAACACAGCATATAGACAGGTGAACAACAATGTAAGAGGAATTAAAACAAATAAAGTCAGAATCTGATATTTGACAATGGCACATCATTTATTCAAGTTTAATTTATTTAAAAAACGAGTGCTTCACTTCCACAGCTCTCCAAGAGGCAGGTTCTCGGCTGCGTTGATATTGTTCAGGCTGTAGGTCATGATGTTCTCGTGCACATCCTCAACGCTCTGAGAAGCATCAATTGCCTATAACACAGTTTAGATCACGTTCGATTTTTTAATATTTTTTTAAATGACACCTTGAAATAAATGTAGGATCCAGACCCTGCATCTTACCCGCCAGTTGACTGAGGGATCCTTCATCAGGTGTTCGAATTTCTGCTGGACCGCTCTTTGGAAAACACTAGTCTCGTATCTCTCTTCTCCAAACTGGCCTCTGAGAGCGGCCTCTGCCGGACTGAGCTGCAGGAACATCACCAGGTCCGGCTTCGGCAGTCCCACGTCAGGCTTCATGCACCAATCCAGACAGAAACCCTGAAGGAGAGAACATGTAAGAACGATGCTGTCTGATGAACGCAGAGTTTGACAGGCGCGGTCGTCTTGCTTCGGTCTCACCGGCTTTGCACTGGTGAAAGCAACTCCGGAGAACGCGTATCGGTCTACAACCAGAGTGGTGCCCTGCTCCAGCTTCTTCTTCATTAAAGGTCTGCGGTCACAATATAAGGCATGTTGGCTATTACTTATACAGGAAACTAATGACAAAATAATATACATTTTTCCGCCCAAATATAGGCAACTTCACTGAAAGAAGAGTAGATTTACTCGAGAGTTTGGTGCATTTTTAAAGGATAAAGCTGGTGTATTTTTGTTATTATCAACAAACGTGTTGAAAAGACCAAAATTAACAATGTGTTTGTCTTCAAGCCCCAAGCAATTTAATCATACTGAAGACTTCAAATGTGCAAATATATATAGTATAAACATGAAAGTCTGGCCGTATTAAGTGACATCTGACTGCAACATTTAAAAGGGTAAATTTATCAATGACTTATCCCTCACTCAACACAATAGGTAGACAAATGAGCATCCAGCAAAACAATCTGGAGTGAATGGAATTTTGTTAATGTGCTTACAGCACTGAAAAGACTAGTGTCTCTCTCCAGAAATAGATATTCAGCTTAGACAACCCATGTACTTCAGTCACTTTTAATAAGGATTGTTATCAGTACATTAGCTTAAACTCAACTTTCTAACAGTCTAATGTTTATTAACCTACAACTCGAGTTGCAATATTACCTAACGTTAACTACAAAACTAACGACCCTTATAAATTGTGAATGTGTCTCTAAACTGAATCCTTGGCATTTTCGTAGAACTTTTTACAGCCTACATTTAGTATCATGGCGCCAACACCCACTTAATATTCATAAAACCTTCATTTACACTATCAAATACATGGCAGGAAAGGAGTCACTTAGTTATGTTAATTATTGCCACCAGTGTGGAAGAAGTACTTAGATCCTTTGAAAAAACTTTATTACAAGTGAAAATCCCAAATTATAAATGTTACTTGAGTAGAAGTATAGCCAGCTAAATGTACTTAAAGTATCAAAAGTTAAAGTGCCTATTGTGCACTATGGCTATTTAGAAAGTATTATATTATTATGGAATATGAAATGATTCCTTCTTTTAATGTCTTACAAATACATTGTTTTGTACATATTGGTAGTAACGTACTGCATGTTGTCATATACAACTGTCATGTATTTGGTAACTATTAGTGTTAATACATGTAGTGGAGTAAAAAGTACAATAAATGTTCCAAACTGTTAGGGAGTAGAAGTATAAAGTAGCATGAAATGGAAATACTCAAGTATGGGATAAGTTTGACAGATTGGTACTTAAGTGCATTACTTGAGTAAATGTAATGAGTTACTTCCCACCTCTGCCTGTTGCTTATACTTTACTGAAACACAAAGAGGCAGCAGTCTTACACCAGCTCCCAGCGGTTGGCGGAGAACAGCAGGTGCACGGTGTGGTCCTCCAGGTCACTCTTGTTCTCCAGGTAAGCGCTGATCAGCTGTCCGATCGTCGTGGTCCTTTCTGGCCCCAAGAGACGCCCCACAGCTTTATACGTTAATGTTGCACAGAAATGAAGCAATAGTATGAAGCTGCAGAGTCGGAGACTGCAGTCTCAGGACCGCAGTCCTGGAACCGCCCTCCTAGGACCCTAGTTGTTTTTGCAACATCGCCACATAGCGAATTGGATGCCCGCAAAAGTACAACCAGCAAGTATTGAGTCTCATACACAGCGAGTCTCTTTAGAAATTGTAATGCTTGTTATTAATGATCTAAAAATGCATGAAAATGTTTTTCTTACAGAAATTAAATTATTAACAACAATTTCTTGTTATTGTGTTTGTTTTTTTAATAACAAATGTATTTTGTATGTCAGATGTAAAAAGATAGTCTTTTATATTTGTTTTATCAAATTTGACATACAACGTAAATATATATATATTGTAGTAAGAATTATATAATCTATTTATAGTTATAAATGTATATTGTATGTAGACATACATTTAGATGTATATTTTGTTTAAAGAAAACACAAATGTTAATTTAGTTTTGGGAGAAGGGGTGGGGTTAAATAAGTGTAAACTCCTTCCCTAGGGTCCTAGGAGTGCGGACCTGAAACTGCAGTCTCCGACGCTGCACTCAAATGAAGGGGTATATTTGCTCTGCACACCTGCACAGGGATGAAAAACAACGAGCCACACCTAAGCCTTTCTCTCAAAACAATAGAACGCATCATCTCCAAACAACTCCACCGCCATCTCCAAAAAAATGATCTTTTTGAACCCCTTCAGTCTGGTTTTCGTCCTCACCACAGCACAGAAACGGCACTCATTAAAGTCCTCAATTCCCTCCTCACCTCTGCTGACACCGGTTCCCTCAACATCCTCATCCTCCTTGACCTCAGTGCAGCCTTCGATACCGTGAGCCACACCATCCTGCTTACCCGACTCCGGGATATCGGTATCGAAGGTACTGCACTCAGGTGGCTCCAGTCCTACCTCTCTGACAGATCCCACTTCATCTCCCTCAACAATCAGTCCTCTACCACAGCTTCAGTCACCCAAGGTGTTCCCCAAGGTTCAGTACTCGGCTTTATCATCTACATCCTCCCCCTTGGTCAGATTCTCCGCCATCACAACCTGGACTTTCACTGCTATGCTGACGACACACAGATCTACCTCAGCACCAAATCCCCCCACAACCCCCCTCTCACACACATCGAATCCTGTCTGACTGCAATAAAATCCTGGATGCAACACAACTTCCTCAAACTCAACAGC